ACAGTGCAGACAAATGGGTTGAGAGGACTTTTGCCAACATAAAAAAGACAAAAAGATGTTATTCTCAAAAGGAAATTGATTGGTGTCTTCCGAGTATTCAGAAGTTTTTTCTATGGTGAACTGACTTTAAAAGCATGGGATCTGGACATAAGATGATTCATGAGAGTATAAAGTCCACTACTTGATGCATGGTTAATTTTTTAAAAAGTATTTATTTATAATTTTGTAATTACAAAAGAAAAAGAATCAAATAGTTACATATATATTATCGAGTCTAGATCCACAATGTTGATTAAACATTAGCTGCAAGGAATAGATGGAATACTATGTCCAGGATATTGATGCTCTGTACTCTTGGTGCTTTGGGGGGCAACACTGGGAGTGTATCTGGAGTTCTGGCCCCACTGGTGGACCTCCAGATGGCATTTGGGTTTTGACCACTGTGTGAAAAAGTGTGGACTCGATGGGCCATTGGTCTGATCCAACATGGCTGCTATTTTGTTCCTATCAAGTAGGCGGGGCTGAGAGAGTTCTGAGAGAACTGTGACTGGCTCAAGTTCACCCAGCAGGCTTCGTGTGGAGAAGTGAGGAACTAAACCCGTTTCTCCAGGTGAGAGTCTACTGCTCTTACCAATGTTCCCTCTAAGCTGTAGAGTCCTGTGAGCAAAAATTCTACTTTGTAGCTAGTCATTAAAGTTGTGAGTGAGAGATTTGGCTACTGCATACATTAGTTTGCTCTGGAGCCATCCTTCCTGAGCTAAGACAAAAACCTGTGAGCTGCAGGCTAAAAACTAGTGAGCTAGCTAGCTCACACTAACTCAGCTTAGAGGGAACACTGCAAGTCTTAACCACACCACACAGTGCTCCCAGTGGACATGGTCAGGATATGGCGTGGCTGTCTCTATTGTAACTGCATATAAATGGCCAAAATTCATATAACCGCTCTGAGCCTGCCAGTGCAATGAGGAGGCTGGACTCTCGAGCTAGGCAGTGAGGGAGGTCAGGGGCAGACTTGGAGCAAAAATTCTAGCTGTAGGAATGTTTTGATGAAAAATATCAGGAGGAAATAGTGCTTGTGTATTATATGGAAAAGATACAGGAATGTCTCAAAATGTAGAATCTATAGCAAAAAGGTGAGACTTTTTGATCAACAGCAAACCACTAGGAAAAGTGGAATAGGAGAAGGTGACGGTAGATTGTTACTCCCTTACATTTCTGGGAAAAGCTGAACTTGGCAGGCCTTGCCTCACAAGGCCGGAAACTTCATGAAGGGGCATAGAGGGAACGAACTGCCCTTTTGTTAGAAGAAGGACAATTAAAAGAAATACATGAGTAGGGGGGGGGGAATGCCATCGTGCCGAAAATAAATAAATAAAATGGGGTAAAAGAATAAAATGGAAACTGGTAAAATGGATTTTCCAAATGTGTATAAAAGCAAAATCGACACAGGTTGGCTCCGATGATATGTCAGTCAGCCAAAAACCACTGGCAGAAATATTTACTATTAGGGGGTGTGGAATTTAACTTTGTCAGTTCAATTGTCATCTCCTGCCAAGGAGGATATGAGAGGAGAGGATTTCTGCTCTGCAGGAACATGATAACATTTGTGGAAGGTCGGTAGTTCAGCAGTTCGAGACCCGAGTGTGCCGCATGACGGAGTGAGCTCCTGCCTCTAGTTCCAGCTCTTGCCAACCTAGCAGTTCGAAAGCAAGACATTGCAAGTAGATAAATAGGGACCACTTCGGTGGGAAGGGAACAGTGTTCTGTGCGCCTTGGTGTTTAGTCATGCCGGCCACATGACCACGGAAACATCTTCGGACAGCGCTGGCTCTTCGGCTTTGAAATGGAGATGAGCACCACATCCCTAGAGTAGGACTCGACGGCTTTCGAGCAAGGGAACCTTTATCTTTAATGTTATCTATGCATAACATTTGGACACTGGTTTAACGTTATCTACTGAGACAAACTGAGTTTCAGAACTATGCTCTAAAGGGGTTAATTCCCATACTCCGCTGGATGGGACTGAGAAAATTGGTACCAGTTCCCTGTATCGTGGTCCAAGAGAGGCAGGATCTGGGTGCTATTTCAGAAAGCAATCTCTCACACGGGGGTTCAGCCAGAGGAGATTTCTGTGTATAAAGTCTTCTGAATTTTGTGACTTGTTTGTATTTATTTTGTATATCGAGAGGATTTGACATTATACAGAATGCTTAATTTAAGTCTGTAGTTCTACATCCTGTCTCTTTAGATCTTGATTTCTTAGTACCTGTGAGCACGCTAATACGGAAGCTCTCACCGCCAGCTTTTGTAGGAGTTCAAGTGAATACTTATAGTTTAGACAGCAAAGTTGGCTTGGAATAATATTGAACACACTGAGAGTAATATAATATTTTTAATGCTTATCCGTTCGTTTACAGTTTTGACGGTTTGTTCTCGGCTTTTTTCTTTCTTTGCTCAGTCTCAGACGCTGAGCGTCCCACTTCGGTTTTCTAACTACCTTAGGAAAGAGCCATTTGCCAGTTCAGGAAGCTGGCTGGTCACACTGCCTTATTTAGGATCACCTCTATTCTCAAAGATTTTGCAATGCAGAAGTCTTCTTACCAGTTTCAGAAAAGGCAAAAAGGAGCAGCTTGTGAAGTTTCCGCCCACCGAGAGCTCCACCCACAAAAAGGGCCAATCGCTAGAAAGGCCCTTCTTCATGGAACTCATTCCCAAGCCCTTGAAGCCAAGGACAACCAAAGCAGGAGGACCCAAAGCCGTTCAAAATAAAGTCTCTTCCCTGGTGTTCTTTGTCCTAATTAACAAGGTTTCGGAACTGGATAAAGTCCACCCCGGATGCTTAGTGTTACCCCCTGTCATCTTCTAACATATTATTTTATTTCTCTTTAAAAGTGTAGGCCTTAGAGCCCAGGGAGCAAAAGGTCGCGGGGCCCAAAAAGTTCATGAAGTTGCTCCCTTATCACCCATTCCAGGAGTCCCCCGTCCCCTCAGTTGGAAAGAGAGACGGCTCAGAGCTGGACTGAGGGAAACTGCTAATTTCTTTGCACTTACGTGGTAGGCCTACCTAGAGAGATATTGTATATTAGAATTGCACTGTTAGGAGATATTATGAAGGAAGGCTTTGTCAAGTTGTTAGATATTGTTTAAAATTCTTTCCGATATGTCAGTCAGTCTGGCCTGCTGAGTGAGAGAGGAGGCCCAGAGCTTCGTGAAGGGAACTGCTAAATTCTTCGCAGGCCCAAGAGAGAGGACTAAGGCACCTCCCTTCAACTGAGGCACGGATGTCTCGGCAGCTCCACAAAGTGGCAGCCAACATCTTACCTGAACGTCATTTATTACTGTATAGAAATTGCCAAACTGAACCAAAATTGTATCATCAGTGGCATCCATTCACTATAAATTTTAGGGGGAAAGAGGTCTTTAGAAATGGGAACATTTTTTAGAAAAAAATAAAGAACTGGAAAGTTTCCCCACTCCATCTCTCTGTCAGCCTTCTTTAACACTGCAGTTTACTTCAGTGGGCTTAGAAAATTGTGACTCTGTTCTGCTTTGCTGGGTATTTCTTCTACCTCCAGGCTAAACTGTGGAGCCAGTCTCCTGTCTGAAGAAGGAAAAGGACACTAGAAAGAAATCCTCACCAGTGCCCCAAGGGGACTCATGTCTGAGGCCAGGACAGAGACTCCAGCAGAGATACCTCCCAGACTGACCTAGAAATTTCCAGGGTCTAAAGCACAGAGGCAGGAGGATCCCAGGAGCAAACAGAACAGGTGGACACGGTCCATGTTCAGGCACGACCAGGATAGCAAATTGCCCACAACGAAATGCATTGTGAAGGGTGAGGGCGTGGCTGGAGCAGCCATGGGGGGGGGGTTCCTTCCTGTTACCGGGGGGGGGGGGTGGGGGGGGGCGCCCACTAAGCTTCACCATTATTATCATCTCTGCAGAAGGGGGGGAATTTTATTAAATGTGTGATGGTGACGGCAGTGGAGGGATGACCACGTGGCCTCCCTCAAGCTGAGGGGGAGAAGCTAAAGTAAACCTGACTTCAATCTCACTTTGTCAGGCCATGTGTGCCATAAAATGTAATGCCAGGGACTGGAGACGTTCACTCTATCAAGGACGCAGGCAAACCCAATGAACGATATAAATTTTTACTGAAAGTACACAAACATGCTTAAAACACAAACACTCTGACTGTATTCTCTTTATTTACAAGTCTTTGATAACTGGCAACTCTTACTCTGAATTAATCCAACTCTGGGGTCAAGGTCTGTGCTGTAGCAATCTTGAGCATTCTGTTCGGGTGGGTCTCTGTAAGCTGAGACATACTTTTGATTTACTGACACTCATTATAAAAAACCACTGCTCCTCGATGTACATTGTCCCAAACACGCAGAATTTTAGAAGCAAAAGCCTTAAGTTAGGGGAAATTCGGAAACCAAAACTGGTCAAATTGGCTAAGGTCGACTTCAGAAAGCGTATCCTTCAGTAAAACATCAAGGTGCTTCCCCCACCTACCAATGAAAGGATGACAGAAATCACAACTTGTGCACTTCTACCATTCTCAGTTTGCATATCGCTGCACAGGATTTGGAAAACAGAAATGTTTTTGCCAGTCTTACATCATGTGAGAAAGAGTTAGCTCGGCAGATACTCTGGAGTAATGAGTTTCAAAAAGGATGGCAACCACTCAAAGTTAACTACTTTGTGAACCTCCAGTATCTGAGCATTCGAAGAAGAGCCTCATCTGAGCCAATTATAGAAAGTTTCATGCTTGCAGGGATTCTCTGAGAAACAGGAAGGTAGGACCTCTGTCTCAAGCTCTTGACACACTGTTACCATTTATGAGGTTCCTCCCCTGTATGGACTCATCAGTGCTTCAGGAGATATGAGCTGGTCTTGAAATCCTTCCACCCTAAGGGCACATTCTGGTTTTCCTCCCTGTGAGATCTAGTTCAGTCTTCAATCATGTCTAAACCTCTTCCACAGTACAAGCAATCTTAGATGATGTTGAATCTCTGTCCACACCCTGGGCGTTCAAAAAGGTTTCTCTCCTCTGTGAACTCGTAGGTGCTGTTCAAGAGCTGCCCTCTGACTGAATTTTTTCTATACTCTGAGCATTCAAAACGGTTCTCCTCTTTGTGGATTCTTTGATGCCTTTGAAGAGTGCCACTCCGACTGAATCTCTTTCCACATTCTGAGCATTCAAAAGGTTGCTCTCCTGTGTGGATTCTTTGATGCCTTCGAAGATTACCACTATCACTGAATATCTTTCTACACTCTGGGCATTCAAAAGGTTTCTCCCTTGTGTGGGTTCTTTGATGCCGTTGAAGATGACCACTCTCACGGAATCTCTTCCCACACTCTGAGCATTCAAAAGGTTTCTCCCCTGTGTGGGTTCTTTGGTGCACCTGAAGATCACCACTCCTACTGAATCTCTTTCCACACTCTGAGCATTCAAAAGGTTTCTCCCCTGTGTGGGTTCTTTGGTGCACCTGAAGATCACCACTCCTACTGAATCTCTTTCCACACTCTGAGCATTCAAAAGGTTTCTCCCCTGTGTGGGTTCTTTGGTGCACCTGAAGATCACCACTCCTACTGAATCTCTTTCCACACTCTGAGCATTCAAAAGGTTTCTCCCCTGTGTGGGTTCTTTGGTGCACCTGAAGATCACCACTCCTACTGAATCTCTTTCCACACTCTGAGCATTCAAAAGGTTTCTCCCCTGTGTGGGTTCTTTGGTGCACCTGAAGATCACCACTCCTACTGAATCTCTTTCCACACTCTGAGCATTCAAAAGGTTTCTCCCCTGTGTGGGTTCTTTGGTGCACCTGAAGATCACCACTCCTACTGAATCTCTTTCCACACTCTGAGCATTCAAAAGGTTTCTCCCCTGTGTGGGTTCTTTGGTGCACCTGAAGATCACCACTCCTACTGAATCTCTTTCCACACTCTGAGCATTCAAAAGGTTTCTCCCCTGTGTGGGTTCTTTGGTGCACCTGAAGATCACCACTCCTACTGAATCTCTTTCCACACTCTGAGCATTCAAAAGGTTTCTCCCCTGTGTGGGTTCTTTGGTGCACCTGAAGATCACCACTCCTACTGAATCTCTTTCCACACTCTGAGCATTCAAAAGGTTTCTCCCCTGTGTGGGTTCTTTGGTGCACCTGAAGATCACCACTCCTACTGAATCTCTTTCCACACTCTGAGCATTCAAAAGGTTTCTCCCCTGTGTGGGTTCTTTGGTGCACCTGAAGATCACCACTCCTACTGAATCTCTTTCCACACTCTGAGCATTCAAAAGGTTTCTCCCCTGTGTGGGTTCTTTGGTGCACCTGAAGATCACCACTCCTACTGAATCTCTTTCCACACTCTGAGCATTCAAAAGGTTTCTCCCCTGTGTGGGTTCTTTGGTGCACCTGAAGATCACCACTCCTACTGAATCTCTTTCCACACTCTGAGCATTCAAAAGGTTTCTCCCCTGTGTGGGTTCTTTGGTGCACCTGAAGATCACCACTCCTACTGAATCTCTTTCCACACTCTGAGCATTCAAAAGGTTTCTCCCCTGTGTGGGTTCTTTGGTGCACCTGAAGATCACCACTCCTACTGAATCTCTTTCCACACTCTGAGCATTCAAAAGGTTTCTCCCCTGTGTGGGTTCTTTGGTGCACCTGAAGATCACCACTCCTACTGAATCTCTTTCCACACTCTGAGCATTCAAAAGGTTTCTCCCCTGTGTGGGTTCTTTGGTGCACCTGAAGATCACCACTCCTACTGAATCTCTTTCCACACTCTGAGCATTCAAAAGGTTTCTCCCCTGTGTGGGTTCTTTGGTGCACCTGAAGATCACCACTCCTACTGAATCTCTTTCCACACTCTGAGCATTCAAAAGGTTTCTCCCCTGTGTGGGTTCTTTGGTGCACCTGAAGATCACCACTCCTACTGAATCTCTTTCCACACTCTGAGCATTCAAAAGGTTTCTCCCCTGTGTGGGTTCTTTGATGCCGTTGAAGAGTGCCACTCCGACTGAATCTCTTTCCACATTCTGAGCATTCAAAAGGTTTCTCTCCTGTGTGGATTCTTTGATGCCTTCGAAGATTACCACTATCACTGAATATCTTTCTACACTCTGGGCATTCAAAAGGTTTCTCCCTTGTGTGGGTTCTTTGATGCCGTTGAAGATGACCACTCTCACGGAATCTCTTCCCACACTCTGAGCATTCAAAAGGTTTCTCCCCTGTGTGGATTCTTTGATGCTGTTGAAGAGTGCCACTCCCACTGAATCTCTTTCCACACTCTGAGCATTCAAAAGGTTTCTCCCCTGTGTGGGTTCTGTGGTGCAGTTGAAGACTGGGAATGTGACTGAATCTCTTTCCACACTCTGAGCATTCAAAAGGTTTCTCCCCCGTGTGGGTTCTTTGATGCTGTTGGAGAGTGCCACTCCGACTGAATCTCTTCCCACACTCTGAGCATTCAAAAGGTTTCTCCCCCGTGTGGGTTCTTTGATGCCGTTGAAGAGTGCCACTCAGACTGAATCTCTTTCCACACTCTGAGCATTCAAATGGTTTCTCCCCCGTGTGGGTTCTTTGATGCTGTTGAAGATGGCTACTCCGACAGAATCTCTTTCCACACTCCAAGCATTCAAAAAATTTCTTACCTGTGTGCTTTCTTTCGTGCTTTTGAAGCGTAGAATTCATACTGAATTTTTTTCCACACTCTGAGCATTCAAAAACCTTCTCTGCTGTGTTTATTCTTTGGTGGACAAGAAACTGTGTTCTGTATCTGAAGTACTTTCTACAGTAAAAGCATTTACATGTCTTCATTATAATGTGGTTTGGAAAAAATACATTGCCCTTTCTTCCACTGGAGAACATCATTCCAGTCTTAGAGCAGATAGATGGCTTCACCCCTGAATGAATCAACTGGTGACGGCTGTGGATTGGGATATCATGGAAGCCCCCTCCTCTGCAAAAAATGGACTTAACCCCTCTCTTCACTGAATGGCTTCCTTCCTGCTTCTGTGGTCCATGTCTATTAATGACGTTTCCTTCGGCCTGTTCATTCTTGGCTTTTTCCAGTGAGAACCTCTGAAATTCCTCTACTGACTCCTCGACATCTCCTGCTGGAATAAAGAGGGAGTTCCTGTTACCACCCACACAAGAAGCGAAGCCACCAATCCTGATTCATTAGTGTGCATTTTGTCTCCAGAGCTGCAGGTTGCAACCTTTCCCTGGCAAGCCCTCCAGTAGCTCAACAATGATGGTCACGGTCACAGAACAGACCGCAAAAAGAAGAAAGAAACTGTGAGGTAACTGCGCTAGACAATATTTCAATGATAATCACAAAATTGTACAAAAATATGTGTAGAAAATTATATATGTATACAATACAATAGAAAATAATTTGTTGACGATGGTCTCTGGAATGCCCTATCGTTTCGATACTATTCTTCTTCCGAGAGTGAATGAAAACAGCGACTCTTGGTCTGTCTTTTCAAATAGTAGGTATCAAAAATCCATAATATTCACCGATGTATCATGACTTAATTCCAAGAATTTCTCTGACAGAATGTTCCTGGGGCAAGGTACATCGGTGAATATTATGGATTTTTGCAACTCCTAAAGGCTCAGCCCCAGGAACAATTCCCAAGATTTCAGGACCCCTCCCTCATTACCCAGAAAGCTTTATAATTCTACCCAACCCAGAGTTCCTTAGAAGTGAAGCAGAAATCCACCATGGCTGTTCTCTGCCCCTTCCCTTGACAGAAGGATGAAGCACACTCACTTCCAGCCCGTTCACTCAGTAAGGACATATTCTGTTGAGATCCTGTTGAGGAATTCTTCACTTCTCCGTCTGGGTCTACTTCAGTCTCTCGTACATCCACGCCTTTTTTGGGAGAGAGAGAGAAGAGGAGGAAGAGTCACACAAGGCCTTTGTCTGTCTCCGCCTCAGGCCATGACTCCTACCCTGCCTCTCACGCTTGCCACAACACTGGCCACAGTTGCCCCTGGACCAGCCAGGTGTGTCGGCTGCTTTCACTGCCACCTCGACTCCTGGAGTCCTCCCGGGGGGCCGTGATTACAGGCCCAAGCCTCACAATGACATACTGCTGCTCAATATTTTGATTCACACATCATCGCCATGGCAGCAATTCACACCTTTGGCCAAGATCCTTACCCAGAGAGGCCACGTTCCCATAGATGTCCAGCATGACTTCCAGGTAGAGGGCTCTTTGGCCCGGATCCAGCAGGGCCCATTCCGCCTCAGTGAAATACACAGCCACCTCCTCAAAGGAAGCTGCAGACTGAAAGAAAAAGCAGATTTCCTCATCAGAGATTGTGCCGAGTGAGACTGCCCACTGGAAAGGGGCATTCTGGGATGCCCAGGATGGAGAGCGTGGCAGGGGTCTAGGGAGTGATGCTCAGAGCCTCTCTCGCTCGGACACCACAGAAGAAACGGCAGGAGCAAAAGTCCTACTGAGAAAGAAGGGGGGACTCAGGCGGTCCCCTGCTCATCTCCCCTACCTGGACTGCAGGGGAAGCAGAAGTTTCAACATCTCCACAAGGATGACTGCTCGATACCATTTCTTCACTGCCTGTGAGGGAGAGAATGTTGGAAGAAGTAGCTGCAGCCGACATGGGGCTGCGCGCCGGAACGAGGCCTGCCGGAGGAAGCTGCCCGGAAAGACCGGCTCCAGAAAGGGCACCCGAAGCCGCGGGAGGAAGCCGGATACCAACAAGCCCTGGGTGCTGGTAGGCAGACACTACCCTATAGACAAATGTGGCCCTAGTTAGGTGAATTGGAATTTGGAAATCATATGTAAACCGCTCAGAGATCTGTCAAGGATTAGAGCGGTATATAAATCGAATGTATAAATAAAATACATAAATAAGAATGGTGGTTAGCCTAGACTTTGTATTTTGTTTGCTTCTTTGAATCCTGCTTCTTTTAAAAAAATAAAATAATGTTTTTGGAATTTTTTGAAGGAACATAGAATAAAGAAAAGGGGTGATAGAAAAGAATAAAAGGTAAAATTACGAAACCACATTATAAAGGGCACTTTTTGCAAATATAAATACATAAAGTTTTAGGGAAAATATATGACATAACGGGGGAGGGAGGGAGGAAGGGGAAGAGAGAGAGAAAGAGAGAGAAAAAGAAGGCAAACTGATTGGGGGAGGGAGGTGAAAAGAGGGAGGGAGAGAGAGAGAGAGAAAGAAGCAAAGCTAATAAATGGGGGAGGGGGAGGAAGGAAGAGAGAAAAGGAAGGGAGACAGAGAGAAAGGTGGAAAGAAAGACAAATGCCTTGTCCAAGCTGGCTGGTGGAGGGGGGCTTTTAGAATGCATTTAAAATTAAAGTTGCTTTCTTTCTCTGACCCCCCAAGCCTACCCAGGGAGGGAAACATTGGCTGGGGAAGGGAAGACCATGCCTCCCCTTAGCTTCCCCAGCCACCCTGCCAGGAGCCACACAACCGTGGGAGGGCTTCTAGTGTCCTGGCCCCACTGCTGGACCTCCTGGTGGCACCTGGTATTTGTGGCCACTGTCTGACAGAGTGTTGGACTGGATGGGCCATTGGCCTGATCCAACGCTGGCTTCTCTCATGTATATCATTTTAACATAACACTTTGTTGTGACAAGAATCATATGGAAGAAAACATCTTTACTATTTTATACTGTAACTTTCATATAATATAAAGCATTCAACCACATGACTGCAAAGAATGGTTATAGTAATCATAGAAAACTTGCCAGTTATTTTCAAATTCGTCTTTCAGTCTCTGATTAATGAAGTTAGTCAGTTTTGCCATAGCAGCATATTCTTGCATTTTGTCTACACACTTCTCAAGAGTTGGACAATCTTCTATTTTCTGCTTGAATCCTGCTTCATGCACCCCTGTCCCCATGGCTGTGAAACCTTGCCCTGTGTACACTCAAGAAAATGTGTAACGATTGTGAGTAAATTTGAGGGAGAGGTGGAAGAGAAGCACCAGATTCCTATCAGCCTTGGTGGTGGTGGTGGTGGGGGAGGTATAAACACACTACCAACACGTTTCAGATTTCTGTGACACTTGGAAGTTATCCTGTGAACCCCAGAGCGCAAAACTGTGACAACATCTATGCTCAATCAGACCAAAAGCCCTGGCACATGCCAATCTCCCACTGGCTGGGCCCTCACACGAGTCCTTGAGTCTGAGCTTCCAGGAAACGTGAGGTCAAACTATACGTCAGAATCTCATTTGTCCAAAAACAAAGACGTGACGTTAGCACCTCTGAAAAATGTAGGGTAATATCAAGGAGTTTCTAGACTGTCTGCTGATGCTCTGATGTCACAGGTCTAGATTTTCAGCAGGAGACATCACCATGACAACCACATTCACCCCTGGGCCCACCTCCAAAGTTCCCAGGGATGCCGGGTTAACTTTTCTTTTTTGAGCCACCTTGAGTCCCTCTAACGGAAGGTGTTTGAGATAGGAATATTTTAGTTAACACATGGAATTCACTGCCACAGGAAGTGGTGGCAGCTTCAAGAGGGGATTGGATAAACACATTAGCCACAAGGTATAGGTGTGATGCTCTGTCTGGGGCAGTGATGCTCTGTATTCTTGGTGCTTATGGGGCAATAGCAGGAGGAGTTTAGGAGCTCTGGCCCTGCTGGTGGACCTCCTCATGGCCCCTGTGTTTTGGCCACCGTGTGACACAGAATGTTGGACTGGATGGTCCACTGGACTGATCCAAAATGGCTTATCTTCTGTTCTTATGTCCTGATCAGAATGGAATTGTCCCCACGAATCTGTATAGTTCTCCCTTCAAGTGGTGGCTACCATGGCCCTGAGTCTCAGAAGTCCACTCTTTTTGCTCCTCTCCTGAACCTTCTATCCGGCAACTTCACAATGAGCCTTCATCTGGGCACAAGCCACCCTTACCGTGTGAGAGGGCATCCTGGGCACGCTCCGGGGCCTGCACCCACTGCTCCTCCTCCGAAGGAGATCCTTCCTCCTCAGAGAACTTTGCTTCCATCTTTACAGGCGTCCCCCACATCTGAAACAGCAGTAAGAGAGACAGGTCAGAGGAGGAAGACCAAGGAGGAAAATCCTGCCCCGTCCCCATCCTCACCCCTGTCTTGATCAACAGAGCTGCCTCAACCACAGCGGCAGGAATCAGGGTTGTGGTTTTCTATCAACCCTGGTGAAGTGTCTGGAGGGATAAATACTGGGCAGGGAGGCCTCAGGCTAAGGTCGGAGATCACAGCTTGAATGGACCACATGAAGCTACCTCACCTGCTCTGCCTGCCACTTCTCCTCTGCCTGACTCAGGAGGAAGCCTTCGGCCAGGGCCACCGCCTGGGAACTGGTCTCCGGCCCACATCCTCTGACCCAGCCCTGCATTTCCTGGGGCAGAAGAGTTAGGAACTGCTCAAGGATCACCAGGTCCAGGATCTGCTTCTTGGTGTGCCTCTCCGGCTCCAGCCAGTGGTGGCAGAGTCCATGGAGCTGGCTGCAAACCTCTCGAGGCCCAGCAACCTGATGGTAGCGGAACTGCCGGAAGCGTTGGCCATGGACATCTGAGGTCACGGTGTCCTGATGCAGGACCTCTGGCACCGCTCTTTCCCAGGATTCAACACGACTCCCTGCCTGGATGGGACGGGGGTCTTCCCTTGGTCTCTTGCCAATTCCTGGTCTTTCTGGGTCCTGCTCTCCCATCTCTTTCCTCTTCTGTTGGGCCGCCTGCAAATGGAAAAAGATGCCTTTACTTTCTTGGCATAAAGACGGAGAGGGGAATATATCCAAAGGGCAGACAGGAATCTAAAGTAGATGGAGCTACAAGTCCTGCCACACCAAAGAATGGACAAGGAGAAAATTGTGTTTTCTGCAGTGCTGATTGTGTGAGCTTAGGCAGATGATGAGAGGGAGGGCAGGGAGGGTTGCCTCCGTGCTTAGTTCTCGTGGCCCTCTCTTACAAGCCCAGAGTTTGGCTGGAGGTGCTGGAGGTTTTTTGTCATCTTCTGGGCATGGAACAGTGGTCACTGGAGGTGCGGGGGAGGAATTTGTAAACTTCCTGGATTATGCAGGGGGTTGGAGTAGATGACCCTGAGGTCCCCTCCAACACTATGGTTCTATAAAGATTTCTGTCCACAGAGAGTGATTAAAATGTGGAATTCCCAGTCACAGGATATAGTCATGGCCACCAATGCTCCCTCTAAGCTGTGGAGTTTGGTGAGCAAAGATTCAATTTTGTGAGCTACTGGCATTAAAGTTGTGAGTGAGCGATTGGGCTACTCCATAAATTGCTTTGCTCTGGAGCTATCATTTCTGAGCTAAAACAAAAATGTGTGAGTGGGGGGCTAAAAAACTGTGAGCTAGCTCACACTAACTCAGCTTAGAGGGAACACTGGCTAAAATGCCTGGCAGGCGAAGGAGCGGAGACTGCTTTCTGGACGACCGTGGCTGAGAATTTATTCCATGTTTATCCTCATTTCCACAAATGCACATCCACATATCCACAAATGCAGACTCCCCCCCCTCTCTGCCGCCACGAGGGTCACCAAGGCGGCCCACAAATTAAAACACAGGTAAGGAAATTGCAGTTTAAAACTCTCTCCCCCCCCACATGGCCTACTTGTGAGTAAGCCTTCCCAGGATCCGGCTGCAAGGGGCTTTCCTCCCTGCAGTGGCTGATCTGCAGCCCTCCCCCGTCCTCCTCGGCCTTGCAAAAGCAAACCCCCTCCCCCCCTTTCCTCTCTCCCGCCTCCCCCCTCCTGGCTCGGCCCGTCTAGTGTGCAGCTCAGTGGCTTTAACCCTCTCCGCCCCGCTGCAGCCCAAATGGAAAAGGCTGACTGTCCCTTGCAGAGACCCGGACGGTGCGGAGGGGCGTCGGCCAGGCTGCGGTCAGCGGCGCCCTCTGCTGCTCAAGGGGGGCTGCAGTTGGCAATCCTGTGTTCTCTATACGGGCAATCGCCGCCCTTGCTTTTAGCGCGTCTCTCTCCCCCCCCCCCCCCCGTTCTTCCCCCCGGCGGCCCCTCTACTCTGCTCCGAGGAGGACTCTTGCAACAGGCGCTTCTTGAGCCAGCCTGTCTGCAGATGATTCCGTGGCTCTGGGTCTGCAGTCCAATGCAGGTGCAAAGAAAGACTCAAAGGAGACGGATGGTTTGTTGCGCTTGATTTGCGTCGGGTGGAGGGGAAGGGGGACCGGGCGGACTCCTGCAACAGAGGAGACGTTTAAGGTTCTGGGTCTGGGACTCTGCTTGTCAGCACTTGCGGACATGTGGAGCTGCGGTGGCACAAGTGGTTAAGACGCTGAACTGCAGGCCGTGGAAGGTCAGCAGTTCGAGACCGATTGTGCCGCATGACGGAGTCTCTAGTTCCAGCTCCTGCCAACCTAGCCATTCGAAAGCAAGAAATTGCAAGTAGAGAAATAGGTGGGAAGGCAACAGGGTTCCGTGCGCCTTAGTGTTTAGTCATGCCGGCCACATGACCACGGAAACGTCTTCGGACAGCGCTGCCTCTTCGGCTTGGAAACGGAGATGAGCACCGCAACCCTAGAGTCGGACTCAACTGCCTTTCTAGAAAGGGAACCTTTACCTTTAACCTTTGTCAACACCGGGATCATTTCTTTGATGTTTATCCTTGTGTGGACGTACACAGATGTATTCACAGTCATCTCTTTTTGGAAGGAAAAAAAAGACGCTGAACTGCAGGCTGTGGAAGGTCAGTGGTTCAGCGGTTCAAGACCCGGGTGAGCTCCTGTCTCTAGTTCCAGCTCCTGCCAACCTAGCAGTTCGAAAGCAAGAAATTGCAAGTAGATAAATAGGTACCACTTCGGTGGGAAGGTAACAGCGTTCCGTGCGCCTTGGAGTTTAGTCATGCCGGCCACATGACCACGGAAACGTCTTCGGACAGCGCTGGCTCTTCGGCTTTGAAACGGAGATGAGCACCGCAACCCTAGAGTCGGATTCGACTGGCTTTCGAGCAAGGGAACCTTTACCTTTACTAACTGTACCACGGTCCTCACTGACTATTTTCTACTCCCCCATCCCGGGGCCTCTCTTTGCTTTTCCTTCCCCACGGGGGGGGGGAGCCCGATCTGGAAGTTAAGCCCGTCAAAGAGGGCTGGCAGACCTGCTTCCGACGGCGTCGGGCGACCTTCCTCTCGCTTCTTTTGATTTTCACCCTTCCTCCCCCCGCCAAGCCGTGCTCTGTTTTTCGAGATGACGACTGAGCAGCGAAGGAGCGGAGAGGGCGACCCGGTGCGGGGTTACTCCCGAGCAGCCCCACTGAGCCACACAGAGGGCTGAAGCCCGCCCCGTCCCTCCGGGTCTGGGCGCTGGAAGGAGGACGTGAAGCGTTTTGATTCGTCTCCAGCCCTGCACGGGTTAACGGGTCGAATATGTTTGCTGGAGAGGCCGAGCAAAGGGGGCGGGGGAGATGAAGGAGAAAAAGCTCTTCCGCGGAGGGGGGGGGGGAGAGAAATGTCTGAATCGCCCAAGAGAGGGAAATTGGGGCTCAGATCCGCACCTGTACGGAAAAGCTTTGCAGCCGAATCCGGAGAAGGTTTACTTGCAAGCAAGTCAAGGGAAGTGGCGGGGAATAATGTATTGGATCTTGGAAGAGAGAAAGGGGGCTGTCAGCATCGAGTTTTCTCTCCACTATGTAATTTGGGAGGGGGGAGGGTTGGTGGTGGTGGGGAATGATCAGTGTCTCTTAAGGACAGCAGAATTCAGTATAAGACATTGAGGGTCCAGTGTGGCTCTTCAGTGTATGAAACCGGCATTCCATTGCTGGTCATTTTAATTCTGCAAAAAAATTAAAATGCCTGCAGGCATTTTTTCCGGTGTGTGTGTGTGTGTGTGTGTGTGTGTGTGTGTGTGTGTGTGTGTGTGTGTGTGTGAGACAGTCCGCTATCACTCATAACTCTGGCCCCAGCAGAGGAGAGGGGATTTTAACAAATCAGTTATGAAGGCACAGAGACCCTAGCAAGGCCACTGGTGTCGATGGAAACACCACCAATCCCCATGAGTCACAGCAGAAGGCAACTCCCCCGGGACAGGCAGAGACCTCCCCCCCCCATATCACCCTGCCCACATCCAGAAGGCCAGGAGGGACAAAGGGCACCTGGGGACGCATCACCATGTGGCCTCAGCAACAGGACCCCTCCTGTAATAAGAGCATAAGAGCTGTTAAGTCCGCTGACTGCCACCAGGGGCCAGCAAATACCCCAGAGCTTGACTCTGTAGGAACAATGGAGACTAGGCTCCTATTCTCTCCACTTGGGAACCAATAGGAGAAATTTAAACCCACCAATGGGACCTAGGGGGGTGTCCCTGGGTGTGTATATAGTTGGCCAGCCGGCCCTTAGTCTTGTCTTTGTTGTGCACCAGTAAACCATGCTGATCACTACATCGGTCTCAGTGGTTTCTACATGCTTCTAACCCACTACACTTCAATGGCGACGAAGGTGGGATTAAACCCAATTCGGGGCACACTTGGACCTGGCCCTTCGAGACCGTTTCGTCACAGGACTACGGGGCAGCCTCCACCACACACCAGGCTGCCATCACCATGCCGGCAGACCTCGACGGCGT